CGTCTCTATCTCTTGCCGTTTGTCTACTCTCTCTTTGTTTATCTATATCTTCTTGTAGGCTTGTCACTCAATCTCTTTCAAACCTACCCACTCTCTTTTCCATTTTGAACAATCTCTCTCTCTCTCTCTCTCTCTCTCTCTTGTTGTTATTATTATTCTTTTTTTCTCGTTCTCTTTTCACCCCTCTTTGTTCATTTCTTTGTCTCCTCACTCACTCTCCATTCACCCTCTTTGTTTCTTCCTTTCATTATCTCTCTCTCTCTCTCTCTCTCAGCAGTTCTTTTTTTTTTCCATGTTCATTTTTCCCTTTTCCTCTTTCTTGCATCTTTCATTTATCCTTCTCTCTTCTTTTCTTTCTCTCACTCACTCTTTATCCTTCTTTGTTTCTTGCTTTCTTTCTCTCTTGTGCTAAGCCACCTCCATTACCATCTGTTTCTTCCTTTCTCTCTCCAATTCTTAACACCTGTTTCTTTCACTCTCTATATTCTCTCTCTCTCTCAATCACTAAATTCCTTTCTTTTTCTATGTCAATCTCTCTTCAACCTAGTTTCTTTCTCTCTCATCCATTCTTTATCGCTCTGTTTCTTATTTTTCCCCAGTTCACTCTTTACGCCCTCTCTGCTCATTTCATTCCTCTCTCATCCTCTCTTTATTCTATTCTATTTCTTTCCCCTTCATTCTCTCTAAATCCATGTTTCTTACTCCCTCTCACACTCGCTTTATTTCTACCTATCTCTCACCCTCTCCTTATTCTATTCTCTTTCTTTCTTCCTCATTCTCTCTCTATCCATGTTTTTTACCCCATCTCACACTCTTTTTATTTCTCTCTCTTTCATCCTCTCTTTGTTCTATTCTGTTTCTTTCTCCCTCATTCTCTATCTATATTTCTTAGCCCCTCTCACTCTCTTCATTTCTCCGTCTATCTCTCTCGCATCCTTTCTTTGTTCTATTCTGTTTCTTTCTCCCTCATTCTCTCTATACATGTTTCTTAACCCCTCTCACACTCCTTTCATTTGTCTCTCAACCCCTTTTTGTTATTTTCTACTTTCTCTTATCCTCTCTCGATAATCCTGATTGCCTTCCTCTCTGTTCATATCTTTGTTCGTTTTGCTTCTTTCTCCCTCACCCTCTCCTTTCTTTCTCTCTCTCTCTCATACACACACCCTCTTTTTCTCTCATTCTTTCTCATCGTCTCACCCTCTCTTTATGTTTATCACTCTCAGTCTTAGATAGACTAGAAAAGAAAAATAATACGCAAGTACCGCGCCAACAAAATGAACACCTAATTGAAAATTCCAGAGGCTCTCAGGACAAACAAAATCTCAACGGAGAAAGAGTCAAATTTGAACTCAGAGTCGACCGGTAACTGGCACCGGACAAAGATGGTGACGAGGGAGGTGCGGAGTTGTTTTCACGCATCAATGGGCGCGAAAACTGGACCTGCCTAACGTTGAAGGCAGTCGAGAAGTCGCTCAACTCATTAGGACAGCAGTTAAACATAATTTTATTAGAATAAACATTGAAGGGTAATGATCAAGAATTACCGATAGAGGGAAGAGAAAACGAATTGAAGTGAGACGAGGAAGGTAAATGAAAGTGAGTGAAAAGCGAAAGAAAAAAAGAAAAGGAAAAACAGAGAAATGTAAAAGAAAGGCTATGAAATGAACGAAGAAAGAATGAAAGAATTATGGAAAGGAAAAAGAAGGATGTTTATGAATGTAAAATGAATAAAAGAGAAAGAGGAAGAAATGAGAAAAAGAAAAGATTGAAAGAAGAAATAGGCAAGAAGGAAAAAGAAAAAGAAATAGGCACAAAGGAAAAGAAAGAAAGAAGAAATAGGCACAAAGGAAAGAAAGAAAGAAGAAATGGACACAAAGGAAGGAAAGAAAGAAGAAATAGGCACAAAGGAAGGAAAGAAAGAAGAAATAGGCACAAAGGAAAGAAAGAAAGAAGAAATTGACACAAAGAAAAAGAAATAGGAAAAAGTGAAAAGGGAGAAGCTATATGAAGAAGAGGAGAGAAAAATATGATTGAAAAACGTGTGTGAAAAGAAAGAAGGAAAGAAGAAGAAATTATATTAAGAAAAAAGTAAAGGAACGAGTGTGAGGAAAAATAAAAGTAAACAGGGGAGAAAAAGAAGAAAAATTAGATTGAAAGAAAAAAAAGAAAGAAAGAAAGAGATATACTCTAAAGAAAGAAAGAAAGAAAATACAGAGAAAGAAAGAAAGAAAGAAAGAAAGAAAGACTGAGAAAGTAAAGGAGAAGTCAAAAGAAAGAATCTAGTTTCATTAAAGAAGATAGAAGAGAAAAGGTCGGTGCAGAGTGGAGAAACGAAAGAAAAGAGAGACGAACTAAAAACAGTCAGAGTAGAAAGAGAGTGAAAGAAAGAAGAAAACAGAGAACAAAAGGTTGAGAGAGAGGAGGTACAAAATAAGACAGGGGGTGGGGCGAAGAGAAGACAGTCGTAGAGAAAGAAAGGAAACAGTAAGCAATAGAACATAATAAAATCTAAGAAGAAAAGAAATTAATCAATCACAAGAAAAGAGCATTCGATTATCCTTCATTAGTTTTTGTGCAGCCTCACGAAACGCCAAAATGTTCGTATCTCGAAAGACAACAAAATTAGCAACACTCGAGTCTTTAACTACAGCAGATCGTTAGAAGAAAAAAAAAGAAGGAATTCTTTGAAATTTGGCGCTGCCCTTTTAGCTGTCTAACGTGTCTCAAGCAAAATTGAGTACAAGAACATAATTTCATTCCTTAAGCTCTAAGCTATCACTGGTAACGAGTTAGTTAATTTTTCATCAAATTTCAAAGGTTTCGAGTGTCAGTTTTTCATTAGTCTGATAGTTGCATAGTTAGTGGGATGTGTTTAGGCGAGCTTTATAAATATATAGGCGTAGACACTTGTAGGCTGCGACGTACCTAGAGTTTGTGCCGTCCAGAGCGGTGGTAGAAGATACCGCCTTTATAAATAGCATTTCGAAACTTGAGAACCTCTAGAACAAGCCTGCGAAAGACCCACATTGTTCGCAGAAAGTTAACCACGGGTTGCAAAAGTACATTTTCTGACTTAAAAAAAAATGGCGCAAATGTACAAAAAAAAAAAAATCAAAAACAAACATTTGCTGAATAAAATCATGCTTCCACAAAAACTTAATTTTTCTTACGCGTTCAACCGCCTACTTTTTCCTGATTACAAAATTTTACTATTTTGAGCCCACCCTATCCACGGGCCACACTGACTAGTCTAGCGGGCCATATGCTGTATTTTGTACAGGACTAGCTGACTGCTATAACACAGTTCTCTATTTACATCATTTGGACGGTTATCCTCATCTTCATTGCCATATTAACAACATTTCGGCCGTTGCACGCTCCGGCCTTCTTCAGGTGATTGGAATTTCGAACCGAACGCTTAATTTAGTCCACCGGGATAGATTGTTCTAGTTCCACGTGCTATGCCCCTTCTGGATGTCTCAGTTATTTCCCTTTAACTCAACTCAACGCAACTTAACAAGTTTTTGGTTCACCACTGCTGTGGTCTGGTATTGAACTCAGAACTCTTTGGGTCTAGTCACAGGATCTGACCAACGTCTTTATCCACTGGGCCATGTGTGTCATCAAAGACACATGGCACAGTGGATAAAGACGTTGGTTAGATTCAGCAGAATCATGTACATAATCATAATACCGCATCTCAGAAATATAGACAGATAACCCGGTTCTCGTACGGTAACCGAAGATGAACAACATTAAGCCTTCTCAGTGCCAATATATAAATGACCACTTAGGAATGCCAAGGTGCTGTAAGCGTGGGTGGTGTTGGATAACGGCTCGGATTTGGAAACCAAAGAGCTGAATTTCCAATTCCAGTCGGGTTTGTTATATTCACTTACGTGCAAATACATTGGGAAAGGTATGAATCCGCCAATTTCTCTCCCCGCTATGGGTTAATTAGTATCAGTAAGTCAATATTACTTCCAAAAAAAATTCTTACCATCAAAATTTTTTATGGTTTTAAATAACCTGCAAAGGGCCGATAAGCCGTAGAAAACGAATAATTAATTTTTGTCTTTCTCATCGAGTATATATTTAACAAAAAAGAATACAATTATGACCATTTATTTTGTTTTTATTGCAGACCCCACAAAAGCAACAACAAAATCAAAAGCTGGAAAAAATAATTAAGAGGTGTGTTTATTTCACTGAGGAAATTTTTCGATCCTACATCGATTTTATTAAGACCCCTCATCCCATTTATTAACCCCCACCCCATTTATTAAGACCCCACACACACACACCTTATTAATTATCTCTGCACGTTTTGGTCCTTATTTTAATCATTTCACCCGAGCAAGGTGATAATGCCACTAAGACACAGGGTGTTACTGAGAGCGGAATAGAATGAGAAAACTTTAGTGATAGAATAGACAATAAAAGAACGAATTTCAGAAAGTATTACGATTGACATTGCATTTAAAATTTTGAAAATCGTAGGTGGCAGGGATGCAAGGAACTGGAAGAGCGTTCCACATGCGAGAAATGCGAGAAAAGAAACAGTTTAGATAGAACATCTAGCTATTTCTAAAGTAAAATGATAAAACCTAGTTACTTGTGGAAAAGAACAGCCTGTCAAATGCATTCAAGATATCTAAAACCACAGCCAGAGCTTTGTCATCCCTATCTAAAGCTCGATAGACAAATTCAATAACACATCGGCGATAGCCGTAGTGAAACGAAAACCGCTTTGTTTATCTTAAATAAGTCCGAGTGAAGTGTGATGCTTAACATATTCAAAGTTGATTAGAGACTCTGATATTCATTACAGAAAATATAACCAATAAAATGGCAGTCAATTTTGGGGGTAAAACTGATAAATTAATCTGTTATTAAAAGCAGTTCTTAATTTCTTTAAACAATTCTAGTCATTTGTCAATTAATAACTATTTGGACGTTTTTATACCACTTGCCGACCTGGCTCATGGTAACCTCCAAGAATGCCTCCTCGGTCTAACGTCTTCCACTGACATGAACTGGAACAATGGTATCGAATCAACTCTGCTAGGAGAGTTGCAAGCAAATTGTCTCGTGCTAGATGATTTTCTCATCCGAATCTATCTTAAAAATGTATAAGTCTGCCGTTTGTCTGATTAGCATTGAATATCGCTACCATATCTATCCTGGTGCTTCTTTTATTTATCTAGATATTCTTAACAAAATCCAAGAAAAGTATCCGCAATGTTATCTGTCCTCATCTGGCATCTCGGTTTCAATCACTTTCTGACCGACATAACATAGCTTCCTTTTGCCTTTTTTTTTATAAATATGTTCAAGGCAATTGTTCTTATGAGCTTTCCTCTTTGAATTTATTCCCCATCCCATGCAAACAAATTGTACATATGGGACTTCATAGAGACTTTGAGGTATTATGGTGGCTGTAGTAAGAATGTGTTGTTTTGAATGTGTTCGGACTAATTTGAAAATCTTTATTATTATTATAATTATTATTACAACGTTTCGGTTGTTTTGAACTCCGGCCTTCTTCAGGTGTCTGTCGACCCGGGTAACATCTAGGTAATTTAAAACTGGACTTTCTATTTAATCTACGAAGATAGATGGTTCCCGTTCTTTTGTCCGTGCCAAGGCGCATCTAGGTTATTGCTCGCTCTGTTTACACCGCGTAAGTCTATACCACTAGGTCCAGAAATTGAACTCACAAAATTCACGAACGACTGTTGTAATCCACTAGGCTCATGTCCAGCCGGTTAATAGCCCTTTTCCGACTGTAAATAACGTAAATAAAACTAACACCTTGTCCTACGAATTCCGACAATAAATTGTAGTTTAAAACTGCGAATTTCTGTGACTAATTATCAATGTTTATATTTTCCAGTTGCAAGATGTATTTAATTTATTGGTGCATAAGATAGAGATCAAGTATTGCGGTCTGGGGTGACATATATGTGACATCACGTGAATTTGACAAAGTCAAAACCGCTCACAATAATGAGCAGTGGACAAATCACGTTTAGACGTAATTGCTTGTTTCAAACAAACACATGCGAAGGAAATGCAAAACTTCGAAATACTGGCTCCTGAAAGAGAAACCCAAATTTGCATGACAACGAGGCTGCAAATTCGACGTATATTTGCACACATTTCAACAAGGACCAAAAGTAACAATAATAGTAACATTAGCCGTTTGCCTATAAGGAAACATTTGGCATTCATTGAATATGTTCATGGCAATTGTTCTTATGAGCTTTCCTCTTTGAATTTATTCCCCACCCCACACAAACAAATTGTACATATGGGAACTAGTTAAGACTTCATAGTGACTTCGAGGTATTATGGTGGCTGTACAATAATGGTAACAGCCAGTAGGTTTTTTGTGTTGAAATTATATGAAATCTTCCTCTTAAAACACTTTTCTTTAGTAAAACAGGTATATGAAGTTCAGTGGCTGTTATCGCTCTTTCCAGTATTAATTGGGGGTTCCTTCCAAACCTATTTGAAGTGGCGTTGAATGTTAACATCTTCATTATGTCATTATTTTTCTCTTCGAATTATATATGCTATCCATTTTACTTGTTGCTGCTGTTGGCAGTCCTCAAGTGATGTGGTTTCTGTTATTTGGTACAGAACTTTGTGATTTAGTATCGCCAGTCCACAATGTTCAAAGGATGATGATCTTTGACAAGACCCTCAGGCTTTAGTCTCTTAAAGCCTTTTTTTCATTATCATCGATTTGAGAAAGCAGTTGTATACAACTGACAGTTTAGATATTTCTAAACGGGTTTGACGCCATGCATGGCATCCATATAAAAGTCTTGATCTGACGAGACTATTTAAAAACATGACTCGAGTTTTTATGCTAATGCTTTGGTTTCGTAGCAATTTATCATATTGAGCGAAACGACTTCGGTCACAGTCTATTGTATGTTCGATTTCTTTTTCTCCTATATTAAATTTGTTATAACTGATCCATACACCAAGTTATTTGAAGTGTTTAGTATTTACTAATTTCACATCCTGGGATAACTATGTACGAACAGTAAGCTAAACGACCAAATTGAACAACGGACGGTTTTTCTGTAGAAAATTAAATTCACAAATTTGAACAGTAGTCTACGCATGCGTATAATTGGCTGGAACCGTTTGCAACGCCGACTCAGTCTCCATATAGACTCGTTCCTTGTCGGCAGCTGCAATCTTAGCTTGAAAGTTTTCCTGTTGTATATTGAAAATATATAATATTTTTTTTTTTTTTTGCTAAAAACATAACCACATTTCAACAGAAACGAGTGAGAAAATTAATTACTGTAGAAATTAAGTGGGTGAGTAATTTCTTAATATAAGCGAGACGAATGTTGGCAAGTTGATTCCGGTATATGGACTGACGAAATCAACAATGGGAAAAGAATTGGCCTGTAAAATTCAATATGGCCAAATTCCACCATGGCCGAATGGTTAGAACGTTCGCTTTCCCGGGTTCGA